TTGATCTAAAGCTGGTTGAGCTAAACATCAGCTGGAGGATTTGTGTCTCTGACCCTGCTGTGTTTTACAGGTTTCCGTCATCAACATGTGTTGGGATTGGCCAGGTAAGTTGTTCCTTTAGTGAATCTTTTCCTGTTTCTCTACCTACCGCATCTTTGTGCACCGATCGCTGCAGATGCTGGCCACCATAGTGGTCCTACGGACTGGGAAACTGTTGGGTGTCATCTCATTCCCAGATCTGGACTTGACCATACCTGGCAAGGTAAGGGGGAGAACAAGGCCGTTATTAAACCGACGTGGAGCTGCTGGCGTGTTTTTGATGTAAGCTCTGTTCTTTCCAGATGTTCCCTCTGCCGCTGCTGTATGTGGGGAATCAGATCTCAGGCCTTTTCGGGACACAGCGACTGAAGTCAGAGCTTGTTAGCGCTCCTGGTAGCGAGATATATAAAACCTGTTTTTTTTATTTATTTGAGGATGTGACACAGTTGCTTGTTGTCCCTATCTTAGCTTACCAATGTTCACGGTTCTGAGGAGGTTCAGTATTTTTCTCACCATGGTGTTTGAGGGATTCCTGCTGAAGTGAGTCAAAACTTCTGCATTTCCTCCAGAAAGTTTCCTATAAAAGGTAGATTTTAACCTCCTCACTCTGCAGGAAGACCTTCTCTGCCTCCATAAAGATGACAGTGTTCACCATGATCTTTGGTGCTTTTATCGCTGCAAGGTGAGAGGGCTCCACTTAAAAAGAAAAAAAAACGCATGTTTCAGTCTGTATGAACTCACTTTTTTTTTGCATCGTTTTTACCATAGCGCCGACTTAGCTTTTGATCTTGAAGGATACATTTTCATAATGCTCAACAACATCCTGACGGCAGCCAGTGGGGCTTTTGTGAAGCAGAAGCTGGAGTCCAAGGTGAGCAGCAGCAGATCAGTGAGCACTGAGCCGCACTGATGAGAACCCTGAAAGAAATGTTCTTTTCTTGCAGGAGCTTGGAAAATACGGACTGCTGTATTACAATGCTTTGATCATGATTTTCCCCACGCTGGCATATGCATATTACTCAGGAGACTTACAGATGGTAGGTGTGCAAACATGAATTTGTGTTCTCGGCAGAGCAGCAGGGGTGGAAACTGGTCCGTGAGATAGTTTTCACAATCATTGTGATGTCATCAATTAAATTTTTTTTCCCAATACATAACTGGTGTAAAAACAAAAAGGTCTAAAATGCACAAATAACCACATCTTAAATTATATAACAAAAAATATATTAAAATGGATGATGCATACAATGTTTAAGAGGTGCTATGCGCCACACAAAGCCACCTTTTTTTTTTCTACCTGAGCACCTGCCCCCCAAAATGTCTGTGCACAGCCCTGTCTGTACACTGCAAAAACGATGTAGAAATAAGTAAAAATGTTTTAAATTAAGTGTATTCACCCTTAATTTGAGTAGGTAAATGAGCTAGTTTGCCAATGGAATGAGTAATTTTACTCTTAAAATAAGATAATTAGATAAAATGCACTTGAAATAAGACAATGCAATTGTGTTTTCTTATTTTAAGTGTAAATTGTCTTGTTCCATTGGCAAAATGTCTCTTTTACCTCCCTAATCCAAGAACAAATGCACTTATTTTGAGGAAAAAATGACTTATCTAGATTTTGATTGTTTTTTTGTTTTGTTTTTTTGCAGTGATATGAGCAGCACACTGCAAAAACATTCTAGA